CTTTCAGTTGACAAAAAAATCTCTTATTTGTCGAGCTTCTCATGTCCTTACGCATATGCAGAGAGAACAGAACAGATTTCACCATGACCCTGACCCTGACCATGACCCTGACCATGACCCTGACCCTCATCATGACCCTGACCATGACCCTGACCCTCATCATGACCCTGACCATGACCCTGACCATGACCCTGACCATGACCCTGACCATGACCATGACCATGACCATGACCCTCACCATGATCCTGACCATGACCCTGACCCTGACCATGACCCTGACCCTCATCATGACCCCGACCCTGACCATGACCATGACCCTGACCATGACCCTCACCATGATCCTGACCATGACCCTGACCATGACCCTGACCATGACCCAAAAATAGCTTTGAAGTACGAGATTTTAGGTAAACTGAAAGAGGGATATCTTTCTCGCCAATTATTCTTCGACTCTCACTCATTCAAGGCACAGTACTTAGAAAAAGTTCAAATTATATTTGAATTTTCCCAAACATTCCAAGGTGATAGTCTCCCTGACAAATGGGACATGTAAATATACTTATTGTACGTGCACGACGCATTTTAAAAGTCGTTCTGAAAACTTTCTGTTCTTGGAATTTACCATGTTTTTGTTGTGTGAATCTTGAAAGTTTTGGAAAATGATCTTGACATTCGAACAGCCAAAAAATTCCATAGACGTTAGTCGATATGTTTTTTTTTTAAGGGTAAAATGGAATTGACTAAATTTGTCTTCGTTCTAAACGACGTCACCAAATGTTCTTCTGATAAAATTATATTCATTAGCATTTACGTTTATGAAATTCAAAAGTTTGATGTGAATCCAGCATTTGTAGTGCATCTATTTTGCAAATTTAGAAAAGAAGCCCCGCTCTAGCTTACGGACGAGCCTCGCTCAGCATCTGGTAATTCGTTAGAATTTCTCTCATATCAGGAATGGCGAATGGTTCCATGAAAAAATCGCAAGTCTTGTGATGCGTCTTACATTCTCATACTTCTGTCCTTAGTTTCTCAAAGTCGTGGAGTTCTTCTCAAAGCAGAGGGTCTTGAAAGCTTAGGTGGTTTGGAATTACCGCTGTGCCAGGCAAAAGTCTATTAATAATCCTTTAAGTGTAGTAACGGTTAGACTACGTACAGTCCCTCCTTTTGGGCGAAGTCCGTGTGAGTAAAAAAAACTCAGCTTAAACAAATATTGATGTTCCCGCACTGCACGGAACTATGGGAATGAGGCGCACCAAAAGGGTCTTGGATTTTCAAACAGAGGTCTGGGCATCCCCCGGGTCTCGCTTTTTACCATCCTCCACATCTTATGCTGGTAGATAGCTTAGTGTAATTGATAGACTTAGATTGCAAATTTAGTTAAGAATTAATTAAATATACTAAAAGCAATGTACAGGAAATAAATACATTTAATGTTGAGTCGACCTTCAATTTCTGTGTATTGTGTCGGTTAAATCAAACTTTACTTCTCCATGACTCGAATTACTGATATTTAGGTAATCTTAACCTGTTCACACACTAGAGCAATTGTCAATTGAGGTTCGAAAGTATTCTGGGATTGTTTTGGTTCTGCTTTAAAACTGTCTGTGCTTGGTTCAGAAAACTCGCAGAATTATGCTCCAAATCAATCAGGCGCGAAACGAAAACCAATCGTGACTTGGTTGCCTGTGTTATCCCGCGCTTTTGGTGGCTCGCGTTTTCCCGCGCTTTTGTCAGCTTGCCTTTTTATCTTGAGTCCTCATTGACCAATGATGAAGATAACCTTTGTTATGACTGGGTGTTGTGATTACTTTGGTTTTCGTTTTACGACAGTCAATTAAAACATATTCTAAATCAATGAAATTCCTATTTTTGCCAAGGCATGATTATTCATCTCCTTAAAATGGCAACAGCTTCAATGTCTCCGTTAAACACAATTTGAACGCAAGATTTTGTAAGATGCACGTATGCTGATTAATTTTTTTACATTAAGTTAATGGGCACTACCTATTTTTTATAGCTATAGTGTAAACTGCACAATCTATTTAACCTTTTTAGCTATGCGTTGTAGCGCAGCAATTGCTCCGTTATGTAAGTGATCTTTTTTTAGAACATCGAGAAAGTAATGTCTGGCTTGTTTGAGTAAACCTTTAAGTTCTAAAATCCTTCCTAAAACGTACTCGGCGTTGATGTTGTACTCATCATGTGTTAGAACAAAACGGACTTCTTTTTCAGCGGAATCGAGTTCGCCCTGTCGGATAGGAAAATTTTTTAGTCGAAAAGAGTACACTCCATTCTACACATCAAAACAACAACAATTACAACAACAACAGCAATGGAGGGAGAGCTACAACCCTAACTTAGGGAAGATGGCATCGGAAAATGTATCCGTTTCGATTATTTCATGTCTTAATTTCCACTGCATCAGTAGCTACAATTTCATCAGCCCGGCTTACATCGCCATGTTAGGTTAACTGCAATAAGCCTCGTTCAATTACGACAACAATAGCAATGGAGGGAGAGCTACAACCCTAACTTAAGGAAGATGGCATCGGAAAATGTATCAGTTTCGATTATTTCATGTCTTAATTTCCCCTCCATCATTAGCCACAATTTCATCAGCCCCGCTTACATCGCCTTGTTAGGTTAACTGCAATAAGCCTCGTTCAATTACGACAACAATAGCAATGGAGGGAGAGTTACAACCCTAACTTAAGGAAGATGGTATCGGAAAATGTATCAGTTTCGATTATTTCATGTCTTAATTTCCCCTGCATCAGTAGCCACAATTTCATCATCCCGGCGTACTTCGCCTTGTTAGGCTATCTGTCATAAGGTTATCTGTTAGCTCTGTTATCTCCGACGAAGGGCTAACGCTCGAAACGTCAGCTTTTGTAATCGTTACCGTGGCCAATTTACCATTTCAACTTTGTTGATATATCCAAATTATTTCGTTACTCCCACCGACGCAGCCCCAAACAGTTTCTTTCGAAACTATCGGCCTTTATTTATCTGTCATAAGCCTTGTGCTCTGTCACCTTTTCCTTCATATGAAGGGAGTATGAGTTAACTAGTTATTCCTGGATGAGACACTAGTTCTTAACCAGTTTTCCTTAATACTTTGCTGGTACTTATTGATACCCCCAGGTGGAGAGAGGCATTGTGGGAGTAAAGTGTTTTGCCCAAGAACAAAACACGATGCCATTGGTACGTGACCAAACCATGACCCGATCCCAGACCTCTAGATTAGGTTTCCGGCGCGTAATCATTCTGTGGCCGCCTCTCCCAGTAATAATAGATACCGTTAATAAAACTAAATAGTAATTTGATGACGATGTTTTCATAATTCGAGAACATTGTAAATAGCATAACAACTCGGGTTACCCTCATAAGTTGAACTTGCACGAGCAGAAGACGGCTGTTGATGTCCAGCGGATCCAATGCCAATCCTTTCCGAAGGTACTCTTCTCCCTGAAAAAACACGAACATAAAAGAAAGCAAATTATCTTCAGCAGCAGGAATTCTTGCTTCGGCAAACTCACTTAAGGGTTAAAAAAAATGGTTTTGCGGTTGCATTTACAATCTTACCGAACCTATATTTGTGTTTTCCATCACACTAATTGTGAATAAAATAAAAGTAATTTTGCGCATCACATAAAACGGCTCTTGCCATTTCCTTGTACTTTTCACTTTACATGGCTCGACACTAACTTTTCAACTTACTGACCAAGTGCCTTGGAGCAGGCTAGTTACATCTTAGATGTTACGACAATTTCAGTTTGTTTACTAGCCAAACTGGCTAGTGGAAATCGAAAACCACTACCCAAAAGTGAATTTCTACTAGTCTGTGGTTAGTGGGCTACCGTTAGTGTCGAGCCCTACTTTACTTTTCACTTTTTCAATTGCCATCAACAATCCGTGTCAATCCTCTCCATCCTTAAAAATCCTTGTTTCTTGTTGGTATTTTCATCCCATTTTGTAGTTTTTCTATCTTACAAAGCTAATATTTTGTGATTTCCTTCACACTCACAATAGTCTGTCACATCGCGGCTAAAAAGACCATAACTTGAAATACAAAACCAACTTTACAAACGGTTTCCTTACCTTTTTAATGACTTTTTCGGTTACATTTTTCCCCTCTTTCCTCAAAACCGGCCACAAGAGCATCTTCCCAAGCGAAAAGAAGGGTATTGGATCCGAAGGCGTTAATTCTGTTGTCTTAAGGTATTTCTCCTCTGCTCTCTGAACTCAAGAAAGAAACAAATGTTTGTGATAACAAGAATGAATAGAAAGGGCAAACTATGGAATGAAGGAAATAGAGAATTGTACTTTAAAAACTAGGGTTCTCCGTAAAATCCTGCTGATGCTAAGTAGAGGATACCTTTCCACTTTTTTCCTACCTTTCGCTTTCCAAGCTTCTCCAAAACGACACCATGAAAGTAATGCAGTTGTGGGTTGTTAGGTCTGAGGGACAGTGCCTTCACATACTGTTCATGCGCTTCTTTCCATCTGCTGGTCACTCTTAACAGGTGCGCCAAGTTTATATTGCCGTCTGCACTATTTGGTTTGATTGACAGTGCTTTAAGGTAACATTTCTCGGCCTCCTGTGCTCTACCTGTGCCAAGATATGAGATTTGGGAAGACATGTAGGTTGTATGTCCATAAACTGGCTAATCTTTCTACACAGGAGTCAGGAACTTATAATTTTTACAAAAATGTAACTAACGAACAGTTCTATAAGGATTAAGTGCTGTTTTTAATTGAGTGTCGAAAGCAATCCATTACCGTACCAGTTTTTCTTTAATCTGCTCTGTGATTGGTCCAGAAAACTCGCGCTACACTCTCAACCAATAAGAATCATACCAGTCGAGACTTGGTCTCTGGCGTTTTCCCGCGCTTTATTATTCCCATTTTGATTCTCATTGGCTTTTTGTGATTTTACCAGTCTTATGATTGGCCATTGAGATTGAGATCGACATCAGTTTTACCATCTCACCTGTGTTCAGGAGTACTAGACCCAGGTTCTCCCAGGCTGCAACGTAATGTGGTCTCAAGCGCAAGGCCTCACGGTAGTATCTTTCACATGCCATAAGACCCTGAGGAAAAAAATCCACAGGAAAAAGGTTAATTTCACATCAGAGAAATTCTACTATTTCGTAAGTTTTCGATGACAATACACGATTTTTTCTTACTATTCTTGGCAGGGAGGCATTGTGAGAGTACCATGAACACTACGAAGCGAGTGTTGGCCTGGGTTCGGAAATGGGTCATTTAGTGCCCAGTCCCACGCGCCGACTCCATTGCTCTCTTACTGCCAAAATCACGAAGTCTCTATACAAACCTTCTTTGCCAGAACATTTCCAAGCATAACGTGAATCTTGGCATTGGTGGGGTTCACTTTCAGTCCTGATCGGGCCAGCTCCTCTTTGTTCAGCCATTCTGAATTGCGGTGTACTGTCTTTGCAGCGAACAACAACAGAAGACTGTAAGTTAGAACCGTACCAGTGGCACTGAGACTAAAACTCCAACTTGAAGGTGAAGTTTCATGGAAACGAATTTTATTTGGGCTCTAAAAACGGAAAGTAAGAATACTGTCATATTAAGTGCATTTATACTGCGCAGAACCAAAAATCGTTGGTATCAATTTGGTAAAATCGCAAAAAAAATCAAGATTCCATTTGTTTTGTACGAAAAAGTACTTAAAAAGGTCTTAGGCACCTTGATTTGCTGCGCGGACTTATTACAGACACCGAGTCAACCTCGTCCCCAAGGCCCTCCTGGGTACAAAACTTGTTCTGAGCAAAAATAAGGGCTCACCTCATGTGTTGAAGAATCTTCTTCTACTTTTGTTTGTTTTCCAAACAAAATTGAGATTCCAAATGGAACCAGAATGCAGAGTCCCATACTAGGAATGTAAAGAATTCTCTCTGCGATAACAAACCCAACGGGCAGGAAGAGATTGGAAGCTGGTAGAAATGGTATGATCATCAGAGCCAGTGAGAACATCACAATTCGCCTTCTCTGAAGAGACTCAAACTCCTCCTGCATAAAGTAAAACAAGCAAAGGGAGAGGTTCAAGTCGACTCATGTCCTGACGTTCTAACTTCTGATTGGGTCACGAAAATCGTTCTGACCAATCAGAAGACAAGCACAGGTACAAGCTGCCTCAAGGTTAAATTTTCCCTTACTTTGTAATGCTTCCAACACTTTCTGACCCAGATCCTTTAATTATGCTGCTATTATTTCTATGCAAATAGACACTATTTAAAGAGATCAAAGCGCTCAACTCACCATTTTTAGTCCACAATGCTGGGACTTTACATACTTGAAATTATCTTTGAAGCGAATGTCATTCTCATTAGAATCTAGTGTCTTTGAATAACTTTTTTTGGACTTTCCAGTCGTTTCATGAGAAGGTGTAGACATGCTGGAAGACTTTAGACCTGTAAGAGAACATGCAGAAGGAAATTCGTGGCGTCAAGACTGACGCAAAACTTTTTTCTCTCTTTCCACGTCACTGATAAGTCGATATCTATAACTTAATCAATCGAACGTTGTTGAATCATATTTCAAGACCTTTAATTCTCATTTTACAACAAGCGCGAAACGGTCAAATGAAACAACTTTGCTTAAAATTCTTCGCTGGAACAAAGTGAAATGCGCGGTTGGATAATATTGTTTAGCGCATAGTGTAGACATTAAATAATTCTTACCATAACAGCACAAACAAACGAGTATACCACTGAATACGAGCGTTTGCACATTGCGCATGTCCCACCATGATTCAATCCGGGATATGCTGTCCATGGACCAATCATAACACAGGCTACTTGGACATAGAAGAAGTCGAGCATTCAGCGCGCACAAATAGGAGTAAGTTCTAAATCGTGTCCATACGTCTGGATGAAACAATGTAGGATTGTCGGACTTAGTGAAGGAAAGTACAAAACCTCTAGAGATGATCACAATTCTCAAATACAAAAGAATCACAGACGCCAAGGCGAGGATGGAAAGTCTTTCGACCAATCGAACGGCCCATTTCGGCCATTGTCTATAACTGAAGGAAAATTAACACTGATAAGTACTTCTTTTTTATAGCACATATCGTTTTACTGTCTAACAAACAAAAGCTATGCAAAGTGAAAAAAAGGGAGATATCACAAACGGCCGATTAGAACTCAAAGCGAAGACAAACTTATTGCCTGAAGCGCGGGAAAACTTTGCAAATGGCTTCCGTTTCACGTGTGATTGGATAGGAGGTTGGTGCGAGTTTTCTAAACCCAAAACAGAGCGAGGATAGGCTTGTTCCTAGTGCGAATGAAAGTAACACAGAGAGAAAATTTTACGGGGTTGGTAAAGGATTGCTTCCGTTTTTCGCTCTGTGCCACCAGAATAAGCTAAGCCTTAAGGCCGAGCTACATGATCCTAGAATATTTCGAAACTCAATCAGAAATTGCACTTCTGCGAATGTCCGCGGAACTTAATAAATAACAGTTTTGACACGGGCAGTCATCGGTAACAAAAACCTATCGTTGGTGATCGATTATTACCTTAATAACACTGTAGGTGAAGAACATACTTTGAACAAATGTTCCCCTTTAATCTTGCAGACAAAAATGAAATCGTACGCAATACAAACTGCTAGAGCTGTGATGCCCTGTTCTTTGCTAAACAGAGATAACACGCACCAAAAGATGCAGGAAACAAGCCAAAGTCTTGAGTATTTCGCTGGTCTTTTACTGCTGGCGTTTGTAGTCCCATCAGGAAAGCAGTTTATGTACGACAACAAGGCCAAGAGATAGAAATAGGCACAGAGGATTTCTGCGCGACCCACGACATTCGCTACAGCCTCTGTATGTATCGGTTGAAGTGCGAAAAACATACCACATAGAAGAGGCAATGATCCAGTTTGAAAATTCCCGTAATCACCTAAAATCCTTGTGCATATATGAAAAAATAGTGCCGAGACAGTGCCATGTAAAGCTACATTAATGACGTGGTATCCTGTTGGATCGAGGCCTCCAGCGAGAAAATTCCAGCGGAATGTTAAAACAGTTATAGGGCGATATGATTTGTGAGAATCGTTTCTTTCCAGCGGAATGCCCCAAAAGTCGTTTGTTAACAGGTTAGAAATTGGCGTCGATGGCCTGCAAAGCAAAAAATTACTCTTTAACGTTAGAGTGAAAATGTAAGCGAGGAGCTGAAGTTTCTAACCGGTAAGTTTTTCTCGTCATGATATGAAAGGCAATCACGATTTTCATGATTGGAGAATGTGTTCTGGAAACATCAGATGAAAGGTGGTTTTTATGGGGGAGTCTGATCTAAGTTGGTGAACCAGCTTTCCAGAGTCAGTTTGACAATTATTACGAATGAAGTGTTTTTCTTCAAGTTTCTCGAAAACGAAACTTTTCGGCAACACATATGATGGCCAACGGTTGACAGTTGGAAAGTTATCGTTAGATTTCAGTCACTTTTTTGCAAACCTATCAATAATGGCCTTATTCTTTACGTATTTTTTGCGCAGTTTCGTGACGCTTTAAGCTTCTTATCGAAAGATAAACAAGAAATAAGACCTAACAGATCATTTAGAAACCTCTGTCTTGGAAATCTATTTTTGTAATGTCAGATCAGTTAACATCAGGCAAAATTTTTCCACCCCTTCAACTTCGAAGAGAGAGCTCATTTGGGTTGAGTACTTCTCAGTTCCATTCTGTGAGCCAAGAGCTGTATTCGATCATAGAATTTCACGTTCAACCCACTTCTAGAAATCAACTCTGATTAATTTCCTTTCTCATGTAACAAAAATTTGCATTTCGTTTTATTATTAATTTTGCATGCGGTCTTTAAGTCAAAGTTAATTTATGCTAAGTAGGTATATACATTTCTTATTTTGAAAGCCATGGGCAAGCAGTCGTTTCTCGTCAAGTTTGTGGACTTGCTTTCCCATGTTAGAACCTAGTATTTCACTAAATTCTTATTTTGTCGATCCGCTCTCAATCTGATATTATGTAATACATGAGTGACCGCAAATTAAGTGACAAGAAATAGTTTGTTAGAAAACCCCTAATACTTAAATTACCAAATGGATATCAACCTGGTTGTCGTGAATAGATTGCGCAGTATTAGCTTCATAAAATACGAATTTGCAGCGAAAACGAATCTTTTTCATCACAACAGAATCTGCTGTAATAAACACGGGGGGATTATCGAAAAGAATGGCTCACTTTAGCTGATTGAAAAGTTCGCCTTGAGGTGAAAATAATTCAAGTTGGCCGTATGATTCAAAGCTATGTTATTTGTCGCTTCAGCTTTCAACACAATCAAAAATTTTACTCGTATAGGAAGCTAGGTTTTTTTTATCATTATTTCACACGTTTTCCCTTTTTTGGGTCACTCTGAAATGTGTCTTTATCTCGGAACTTAAAGATATCACTTCTGATAAACAACAACCTTAAAAGTCCAGACAAACTCTTACCTGACATCTGCGTTCGTTTCAAAGACTTCGAAGTCATCGTAAACAAACTCGCCGAACAAGGAATTTAAATAACACACAGTTGCCGAGATCGCAACAAGAATGTACGGTTTTGACACAGGACGGGTGGCATTCGATGAATTCTCTACAGTTGCTCTCCCGTATCTCCTGTTTAAATTCTGTTCACGCGTCATGCTCTTGTCTCTATTTATCACCTGGCTACACAAAAACAATTTCGAAGGATGAGTACCGGTAGTCTCGCTCACAGTTTTATTCTTGGTACGTCACGCAACGCTGGAAATTACGTGACACCAAAGGAAAAAAAATATTCAGCTACTTCACTAAGAGGATGCGGGAATTTTGCCAGCTCACAGAGGTAGAACAATTTAAACGAGACAAAAAAAATACGATGGCAATAATTCATTAGGACTTTTTAAAAAGATATGGAAGATGTGAAATGTGTCAAACGAAAATTTTACATGAAGCTCTGGAAAATTAGTAATCAGCAAAATAAAGAAAGTGGAAAGGTCTACAAATCACATAGTATAAATAGATAAATAAATAAATAAACTAGAAAAAATAACTGCATTCACTGAACTACTTCCTTAAAACCAACTTAACCCTTTTAGTCGTGAGATCTTATTTGTAATTCTCTCTACTGTCTGCCATACAGTTCTCGAGTTAACGGGAGGGGGGGGGTGCAGTTTTTAAATGTGTGTACACCTGCTGGCTGTTCTTACTTCTGCAATTTATTTTTTACCTGAAATAAAGGGGGAGGGTAACCCCCTGGCCCCTCCCCTAGTTCCCTCAATGGTTAGTTTGGAGAGTTTGGTATTGGATTAAATGAAAATCCCACAATTTATATTTTTCTCTGTTCTCATCTCTTTTCTACCTGACATTTATATATTGTAAGGAGAAATTCTGTCTTGGTCACTCATAAGTTTAAGGGGTTAAGCTCAGTAATTATCATTTTTTTGAGTAGTCAATTATTAGATTTTCTCACAGGTAAAATTTAAGGATGGATTTTCAAGAGTTCTTGAAAACTTTCAGAAGAGACCTTCCTTATACTTAGTCTTTCATTTCAGTATTGTAGTTTTAGGTTAACATTTTACTCCTAAGATCTATTTGTTAATTCACTCCTGTAGCTGCTTCACAATTCCTTCAAAGTAAGTGACAAGAATTTGGTCTTAGATCAAGACAACTACTTCTGACTGATAAGTTTGAGTATTCTCCTTACCTGTTTGTTGGATAGTGTCTGGATATTAAAGAGAGAAGTTACATGTTAATCACTTCTAAAAGTTTAAAAGTTAAGTGGAGAGACCTTTTACCTGTAACTTTATTCTTATGCCACACCATTCCCTGTTTTGCAGTGTTCTACAATGAACAGACAATGGATAATTCAATCTTTTCAGTTCCATTGAATTTATTGTAAGCTTTACGATTGAAAATGTTTAAGAACATATAATTTACAAAATTTACAAAAGTCAGTGAAATATTTGCTTGGTAACACTTCTTTTTTCAATCAATATTTCCAAGCCAAAAAAGTGATGGTCACTTGGTTCCTGACTGGAAACCATTACAATGTTTAAACAAGCTTGTGATATTCTCAAGAAACAGATGGTAAATCTTCCTTCAAATATTTTCTCCTGATATCTAAAGCTTGATTAAAGAGATCCATGTTCATCCCATCAATACAAGTCGCAATTCTTGCTCGTAGAATAATGTTGTCATAGACATAGACTTCTCCTATAAACTGATACAATGATCCTCTGTTAAAAGCAATTGGTTCCACATAGGAAGTATCAATGATCAACTCAATGCCTTCATCTGACACTTTTAATTGACTTCTTGCCATGTTGTGAGCCACTGCCCTGCAAATTAGTACAGAAATATGTCCGTTAGCAAGTCCACGTAATTAAATTTAGGTCAAAATTAGATCCATAATGCGAAGTATGGATTCTAAAGGAATACCTCACAATGAAGCTCGCTTAATACCAAGCCCCACACTCCTAGCCACTCATGGAAACTTCAGCTATATATTTGTAGTCTGACCCCTCTGTTTACAAAAAACACGACTTAAGACGGAAAGATTTAAGTATAACCCCATACCAATCAAATACAAAGCGTTGTTTTGCCTCTGTTTTCTTTTATACAAGCATAATGAAGTATGGGGTTATACGGAAATCTTTCCGTTCATTTAAATACATTCCCAAAAGTTATTTTCCGAAAAAAGTTTTGTCAAAGAGTTACAAGACCAATATTTTTATACGAAAACTTTTCTGTAGCAGTCGCAACGAACGTGAATCAATCGCTAGATCGGAACTAGAGATCTACACTTTTTACTTTATTTACCTTGCTTTTAGGAATGGAAATAAATGGAATAAGAAACTACCTCCACTAAAATTACCTTCCCCACGTTCTCACTGATTTACCATCCAAACTTGTTCCCAGGTGAGTCAATTCTTTAACGCGAAGTAGCTGTCCACTTGAAATGCCCGCCATATTTGACTTCTTGGACCATGTGATATACTAGAGAATGAGAGGGTATGGAGGGTAGGTGGGGCTGTCAGTGAGGAAAGGCACAGGCCGATGCCGCCCCCCCCCCCAGACCTTAGGGGGCCTTTCTCGACCTGTATCGACCGACTAATTTCTACAGACAGACAAAACGAAGCATTATTTCCCCCATTTTCTAACACGAGCGGAACACGAGTACAAACACACTCAGAAATTGTCCCCGCGTGACTTTGATCAAAATGCACGCTTTAAAGACGCCTAACCCTTCAATTAATCGAGATAAGCTGAAAATTCGGCATGTATCCGAACGCAATCGTTCAAAAGTGAGTAGTATAAGCCAGGTTTATTTGGGTTGTCATTTGGCACTGAAATTTTCACCTGTTAGATCAAATCCAACTATTCCTAACCCTACTCCTACTGGAAATAGTTTTTACAATCACTGAACGCCTAGCACATTTGATATTGGCTGGTACCTGCGAGTTAACTTAAAGAGCTTGAGCTACAGTATAGACAGGAAATTGGAACTTTCACAGCTCAAAGTCTTTTCCCTGAGCCTCGTTGCTGTTTTCATTGAAATTCAAGGTATGTGCTGTTTGATCCTTAGGAAATAAATTCAAGGCTTTGTTTAAATTTTGTTTTTCCTTATGTCGACACGTTCGACTACGATCGGTTGATCTGATGATGTTCACATTATTTTTTTCGAAGATGGAGAAGTTGCTGCAGGGTATTTTAAAGTTCAGAAATCTTGTGCGACCTTCCATGCTGCCGCAACTAGAAAAACTCGCTCATAAAGCCCAGGTATGCTCACTTCAGCAAGGTTTTTCTGTGGTATACGAAGTCAATTTATAACGAAAGATCGTGACGGTCAACACGTTCGATTAAAAAATTTGATCCATTTCCATTTTTTCACCCGTTATCCTCTCTCTTTTAGCCACGTATGCTCCTAATTACTTGTATGGACAGCCGTTTGTGTCCGACCAGTTTTACTCAAGCAGATCCTGGGGATATGTTTATCATGAGAAATGCTGGAAATGTTGTACCGCACAATCAGCTGTTTGGAGAAAACCAACAAAGTGTGCTTTCAGAAAGAGCAGCTTTGGAGTTAGCAGTTTCCACTGGAGTCAAAGACATAGCAGTTTGTGGACATTCAGACTGTAAGGTTGGTTCACAAGTTTACCCACACCACCCTAAGAATGTTTCAGGAGGAAGGGTATCAAGTGCAAAATCTCGAAAATAAGCTGAGGCCAAGTCTCTAGCCATGGTTGTACTGGTGTACTCATGATCCCTATATCCTCTCCTTTAGGGAACCTAGTGTTGGACAAAACTGGATTTGTCAGGGTGGGGGGGGGAAGTTAAAGTGCTGAAATACCCTCTGTGGGAGGGATGTAGAAAATTCTGGAATGAGAAAGTTGGAAGTATATTTGAATCCTTAATCATATTGTTTGCATTACTGAAAAGTGTCTTGCATTCTTTATACCATAGGCAATGGACTGCCTGTACCACATGTATGACACCACAGACAAAGAGAAGCAAGATTCTGAAACTTCTTGGGTAGCAAGTTGGCTCAGACGGTATGCACAATCATCATTAACAAAGTTTGAGAAGCTTGGGGTTCCTATGGATGGCAGTTCTAAGGAGAAAGATAACTTAGAGATAATGTTTGATAAAGAAAAGGATATGTCTGATGTTGATAAGCTTTCGCAGGTACTTGCATTCTTTGTTTGTCACCTCTATATGTACCAGTCGTTCAGTTGATGTCAGTCAGACAGTCAATGAGTCTCATGGTCTGCCAGTTAATTGGCCAGATGGTTGGTTGGTCAATTGGTCAAATTGCCAGTCAGTCAGGTGATCAATCTGTCAGTCAGTCAGTCAGTCAGTCAGTCAGTCAGTCAGCTAATCAGTTAGTCTTTTTCTCAATCATTCAGCCATTACTCTGTTAGTCTGTAATCTGTCTGTTGATCCTTTATACATTGGTCAATCCAATACTCTTTCTGTTTGTCAGCCTACAAGACCACTAGACCATCAGTTTGTAAGTCAGTCAGTCAGACAGTTAGACAAATAGTCAGTTAGTTTGTCAGACAGTTAGACAATTAGTCATTGGGACAGATGGTCACTGAGTCAGTAACTAAGTCAATCAATTTGTCATTTTTTTTTTGGCCAGGTTTCTTATTAGTTAATCGGTCAGCCATTTATTTCAAGTGATTCCTTTCCTTTCTTTTTATTTTGCAGGTAAACGTGATTCAACAAATGCAAAATATAAAATCATATGGATTTGTAAGAAACAAACTTAATGAAGGTTCACTTCAACTTTATGGCCTCTGGTTCAACATTGGTAAAGGTGAAATGCTCATGTATTCAAAGACTCACAAGAGATTTGTTCTCATAAATGAAAAAACCGCATTATCTAGTTAATGAAGGAGGTTGTTTGGGTTTGACCAGTACTGGAAGTTTTTACCCTTAACACCCAGAAGTGATTAATATACAACTTCTCCCTATACAATCCATACATTAGCCAACAAATGGTTACTGAGAATATTCAAACTAATCAAGTGGAAATTGTTCTCTTGATCTAACTCCAAATTCTTGTAACTTATTTACAGGGATATGTGTAGCAGATAGAGAGGAGAATTAACATTCAGTTATTCTAGATTCCTATAAAAGTCAGAAATGAAATGATAAAATGAAATAATTTTGAGTGATAGGGTTGGACTGGGAGTAACAGGGGGGAGGGTCTGTCAGTAGGGGGGGAGGGGTTTGTCAGTAGTGCTCCCAGTACTTTACAAATTGAAATAGTCTCTATCATGTCATTTAAGGCGTTTTTTGCCACCCATTCTATCAGAACTCAAAGCTGTTATTTAGAATAAGACAGTAAGAATTCCTCATTATTTATAAAATTGAGTCAGTGATTGATAAATCATAGGGTCTACAGATACAGTGTATGAGTTCAATTTGACTCAGTCTGAAAAAGAATAAATTTTCGTACATGTTCAAAAATCAAAGAGAGATAAAAGGACAAAGAGAGGGCCGTTGTGTTCAGTCTTATTTCTGACAAATTTCGGTGTCTAAAAATCCCGGTGGAGATTCTAAACTGTTCTCCTTTCTCATTAATTACCGTCATTATGATAATCGCGAGTAAGCGCGCACCTGGCGAGAACGAGCGTGTGAGAGGATGGCCTCAATCCATACGCGAGAGCTTCTTCAATAAGTGCGCGACAGCCACGGTTGCCGCGCTAGGATTAGGTACACATGCGGTGGCAATCTTCATATAAAGAAAGGAAAATTGCGACAAGACTTATTCTGTAGTTTCCGAGTGAAGATTTACAGTGGTGCGACTAGGGACGTGAACCAAATTTTTTGTGGGAAGAAAAAAAGCTCGGCTCATGCATTTTAAAACTTTGTACATGTCGTAGCCTTTCTCTGCAAATATCAACTCAAAATCACCAAAATTTGCGTGGTCTGAGAATGGAAACTCCGATGGCATATTATTGAAGTTTCCATTCAGAATTTGCTTAAAACATACATTATGCTGAAGTTGAGGTGCGACGCAGTCAGAGACAATAAACACATCCAGCCATTCGCGAAATTCTTGCTAAAAATATAAATTACTTCCGATGTTGCTGTCTTGACAGCTTACGATCCATGAATTACGATCTTTTCGTCCAGAAGTCTTTTCGTCATCATCATCATCATCATCATGTTTATTTGTTCAAGCAGGTTGAATTTATTGGCAACTATATAAGCTGATGTGGACCTGCTGTTTTCTCACCCAACCCACCCCAGGGGAGGACATACAGCACACAGTAATCTCGTGCGTGGGAAATTAACGTCTCTTAGCCCTTACCCTTTACCCTTTAAGAGACGGGACCTCCGGCTCTACGTCCTATCCAAGAAGACGAAACAATGTGAGTGAAGTGTCTTGCTTAAGGACTCAACGTTAAGCCCCAGCCAGGACTTGAACCCGGGCCGTTTGACCCAGAGTCCAGCGCACTGACCACTGGACTACTCACGCCTCACAAAAGTATTACCTCGTCCAAAAGTATTTTCACTAAGTCTGTTCGTTTACTTGTTAAGTCTTTTCTCCAAGCAAATAAATAACTTTTAGAAGGCTAGATAAGGCTATAGAAAGAAGA